GACGGCGGAGGTGGACAAGCACCGTGGGTTATTCCTTGTCCTTCGGCCCGTTGAATCGCGTAGATTCGCTCGTTGGCTGGCTGACGAGATAACGGAGATCGTTGCGGGTCTGCGTGTACCGAGCCAAATATGACTTCGAGAGGGGAAAAGGACAGAGAAAATGGATATACGTATAGCAAATTGGATACGATCGCTCCCGTTGCGTCTATACAGACAGCAGCAGCAGATCGTGCGAACCGGGTTTTTGGAAATTTGCAAAACTTTGGAAGCGGCGCGTATTAAAACGAACGACGTAAATCGGAAAACTTACTGAGAAAAGCGAATTTGTCCGAAGAAACGGGTCACAAGCGACAAAGAAAAGCAAACACGAGGATTCACGAGTAAAACGCCAAGGTAACGATATACCGAGGAAACACACGATCGGTAGAGACAAACAAGAGACGATCGGCCGATAGAGAGAAACGAGCGCGCGAAGAAGAGAAAAAGAGAGAGGAGAGACGGTCTCTCCCGGTGTCGGGTCCCCACCAATCCTGGTGCACGCTGGCTTAGCCTCACTCCTCGCTTAGTTTTATGAATGAATACTCTCCCGTCGACGCGACGCGGCAAACTCACACTGGCGTCGGCGCACACGACCACCCGCTTCCCGTCTCGTTCCTACCACCACGATTCTCCCACTCCCAACCTTTTTCTTTCCTTCTTTATACTACCTTCGCCATCTTCGTCAATTACACGCTACTCCATCCTTCTTCCTCTTCCTACGTACCTTCGTCACCCTTTGAATCTCTTTTTCTCCAATACTTCCATCCTCCTCTCTTACGCTCCTATCGTTTCGTCTTCTTCTAGGCGTACGCATCTACATATATCTCTCTTCTTTTTTTTCTCGCGTTCATCTTTCCTCTCTAACAAGCGCGGGTTATATATATTTGTCCTCGTTGCTCCATAGGTTAAAGATGATCGCGCGAGAGAGTGTACGAGGCCCCTCATGGATAGACGCAGACATAGACCAGACCATTCCTTCATTCGGTCGGCTCGTTCATTCATGCCTCAGCCACACGTTTCAACCGTGTAGTCTGCCCGGCTGAAACTGCCCCCACCAACCAGCTACGCTTTTCCTTCTGCCTCTCGCTGCCGCTGACGTCGCGACGACCGCAAAAGAATACTATTCACGGGCCGACGATCTCGCTCGCGCCAAGATTTTCTGACGCGTCCCTCCAACACCGGGGGCGGTTTTCCCCGGCAACACGTGCGGGGGAGGAATGCCCGATGAATGAATCCTCGAGGAGGTTTCGCGTGCTACGCTTCGCTTTTGTGAATGGAGTCCGACGATGCTCCTCGTTTCTTTCTTGCCTAATTTTTACCCAGTATTCGTTTTTTAACGTTCTCTTTTTGTCCAGACAGTTGGGACATCCATATAGAAATTATTTCGCGGTATACTGTACGTTACGCATTGTCGAACAAATTACAATTACGATTAGCTATACTATACTAAACGTCGATAAAAGGAAAAGCCAGTCTCTGCAATCGTTTAATTAATTCGGACGTTTGTTTTAAACTACTGTCCTACGAAGCATCTGGAACCTCGTTCGAGGCATGTTTCAGCTGTACAAGATTCTGGAATATTCCATGCTTCTAGCGCGACTGCCACGCTCTTTCGTATTAAAAGATACAACGTTAAAGATGATGTTAATTATCGTTCGATTCTCGCGTCGATTTCTAAAGGAATATATATAATATACTGCTTACACTATGTCGCTATTGATCAATGACGCGACGAATCTCATTCTTCGACATACACGAGTTTCTTTACTGTCGATAAAAAATTTGCAAATTTATGATATCTTTCATCTTTTCATTACATCAATTTGCTTCGGCTCGAATACCATGACAATTGATATTACCATCACTTGCCCGATACGACGCAACGTAGTCACCTGACTCGGCAAAAAAAGCTACCCAAAGTTGCTTCTACGCTGCGAAATAAAGTTGGCTTTCAGCGCGATTAGCTTCGCTACGAGTAAAAGTTTTCTCCATCGTGTCCGCTGGATATCGAGTGGCGAGTTTATGAATGGTCTCGTACTGCCGGAAATGCGTCCCGTAAGAAATTTTTAGCCTTGTCCGCGAGCAAGAAGTTTCACATTAATCACCGCGAGGCAACATCCTCGAGCTGAGAGCGTGTGGCGCGGGAAAGGCGGAGGGACAAGCAGAAATTACCGACGTTGTTAAATAGTGTTTGCGTTCGAGCGTACGGCGTAATTACGTCTCGCCTTCCACCGAATGCTACGTATTCGCGTCGATTATTCCACTGAAAACCGGGCTGCCGAGTATTACGAGGCGACTTCCGTGCCCTGACGCGAGTAGATCTTGAATGGAATCGCTCTACCTTCTTTTTTCATCCTTTTCGTCCTCCTCCTCCTCCTCCTCCTCCTCCTCCTCTTCTTCTTCTTCTTTTTCTTCTCCTCGTCTTAGAAGGAAAGGCTGATTTTTTAGTAATGATCCGAAGATGATTGGTACGGTGAACCGATCATTTCCGAAACGTGGTGAGTCACTGTTTTAAAAGTAGCTTGATATCCTTGAAACGTTATTACATTTCGAGGAATAATCGTAATAATCGATATTGAAAGTACGCGAAAAGTTTGTTGCGATAGGATCGAATCGCATTTGATCCAGGATTTCATCCACGCAATCTCACTACCTCGAAACATTTCCCAAAATATTTCAGGAAATATTTATTTACCCTTAACATTTCACCCTATAAATGTACCTAAACGACGGCCAATAAAAATATTGCTGTAGAGACTGTGAGTATAGACTATAAATTAAACAATTGCGACTTGGATATTTATTTTACCGTCGGCCTCTTTTCTCACATTCCACTTATCACGGCTAAGACGCTTAAAGCCAAGAGGTCTCGTATTCGGAATATCGACATTTTTCCACGATACTTTGCGTATGCCGTACCGTTTCTTTGCTTCGATCTCGTCTGCAATTTGACTCAGTAATTTGACTCCGTATTAGTCCATACTGTCACGTTCGAAATATCGTAGTACAGTATCGTTTCCTATCGACTAAAGGCTTCTCGCCTCGGAAAAGCTTAAATCGTGCACCAAGTACGCATCTCTTTTAAGAGATCACTTGTCAACGCTCCCGTTATCCCAAAGGATTTTTCTTTCCATATAGGTATGCGAATACGTAAATAAATAAATAAATCTACAAAGTTTGATTAAAATTGACGTAACGCCATACTTGCAGGGCTATTACAAGATAGTGGGTTCGATTATTTCGAAGAACTTTTCAAGAAAATGAGACAGAGATAAGATCGAACGGAACGCTAGTTATCCAGGGTAAGTAGAGCGTGGTTTATTGCTAATTGGCAATCAAGGGTGACACAGAATAATTAGAAAGCTATTAGAAATGGAGTGGACTCGAACAGAGCCACGATTGCTGCATGATTTATGAATCCGTTGCAGAGACGCTTCGCAGGGAGAGATTAGGCAGCCAGCTGGTATTACCACTAGCAACCGTGCATAATAAAGCGCAATATAAATCAGTGTCAATCACGTTCGAGGCTTGTGCAAACATTAAGACGCGTGGTTCGGAAACCAGAGGAGTTTGTCTAAGAAAAAATACCATCCTCCGATTCGATCACGTATCACGCTTCTAAATGAATGAAAATTTTCGACGCACAAGTTGGATAAAACATACACGCGATATGTCGTATGTTCGCATAGATAAGCGATTAATAGCTTAACACGAACGCGTACATGGAAAATTTTCATCAATTTTCGTATGACATCCGACATACCGGAGGAATAAATGATTTCCAGAATGTTCTAATCGTCCAAAAAAATATTCTAATCTAAAATTGAATCTTACCGATGTAACGTAACGCAATATTCAAATCGACAGATCGAATCTGTTCGTATCGCTTAATGAAAAAACGAAAGATGTCAAGCGTCCTATCGTAGAATTACGAAACGATATCGGAAATTTTTATCCATTCAGGCGCGTTTTACTCCGTTTAACTTAGAGTTTAGAGTATACGCGCGAGACCCTCCTCCCAGCGGTCAACCTTCTTTGCCAACCGGTTGCGCGGCATTCGTTTCGATAAATTAGCTGGGAAACGTTCCGCCGACTTTGTAGAGTCCGGATCTTGCCTCTAATCACGGACAACAGGTGCGGCAACCGATAAACAACCGGACCGCAGGCGAATATATTCGTCACAGGCTCGAGCGAGGGTGAATGGAACGAGAGAGGAAAAAAAATCAGGTCTTTCATTTAATTTCAAGATTTTTAGATTCGCGTTGCTCGGATCGATCGAAGTTGCGCGCTATTCGAGGAACAGAGCAAGGCCGGTTCTCTTTCTTTTTAAGAGGGAAGCTAATTGTAAGTAATACAGTATTATTAAATAGCAGATAAAATCGTGTGACAGCTCGTTTCGATGACTTTTATTTGCCTCGACTGGTTTCGTGTTTGCTATAAACCGTGGGAATGAATTTACCTCGTTGGCTCGTACTGCCACCGGAGTTCCTTCCGTTTTGCTATTCATCGAAGATTTTTACACTCCGCTCAGTCGTCCATCGTACCTTCTTTTGACCACCGGAGTCATTCTACACGCGAACCTATCTCCTTCGGAACATCGAACCGAAAAGAGAAAGATCGTC